TGTTTGTCATTCACAATATGGTAACAACACTACAAGAAAACACAATTTTTGTGACTATATTTTGCGACCACATTTATGGTCGCAATTATTTGCGGCTAATGTGTAACTACGTTGCGACGAATAAGCGACTACCGTTTCTGCAGAGACAAATTAGTCGGTAATTAACGACCAACGATATTCGTCGGTACATAGTCGCTAATTAGCGACTACTTAGTGACTAACTTTTCACTACTTAATTTTAGTCGCAAATTAGTATCAAAGTGTGACTACATAACGACTGTTAAATTAGTCGAGAAATATAGTCGCAAATTAGTCGCAAATGTGCGACTATTTTGCAACGTTGTTCTGCCGTCACTGTTGCGTCACAAAGTAGTCGGTAAATAAAGTACGTGTGTTGAATTGGTTAAGGTCCCACATCGACAAAAAAGAATGAAGGTCAAGTTCAACATGTACTATAAATAGTGATACACTCCAAGTAAAAAAATATACCATTTGGGTTTTGAAAAATCCATCTATTAGTTAAATTTACCTATATAAGTTTTGTTCTCCATTGCCATTAAACAAAAATTATTTGTGTCTTCATAAAGAGACAAGAAAATATTGGGAAAACGGTCTATTTCCCCCCCATAACTTTCATATAATACTATATCACCCTGAACTTTGAGCCTCGGTTTGTGTCTCACTAAAACAAAAGCTAAATAGATTATTCCCCCTAATTGCAAAGTTCGAGATCTATTTCCCCCTCAACCAAAATTTCGATGGTTTTACATCGGTTCCGCATGTAAACCGTAAACCAGACGTGTTGGACCGAAAACAAAACCGAAATAAAAACCAAATCCGATCCTAGATCCGACCCATTCCCCCGACCCGTTCCCCAATTAAAATCCCCAAATTGAATATAAACCCTAAAACTCAGTTTTCCAAAATCAAAATCAAAATCGCGAATTCGAAATCAAAATCGCGAATTCAAAATCAAATCTAGTGGAGGATGAGCAATATATCCGGCGCATCTAGTGGAGTATCAAATGGTGGCCGAGATCGAGGAAGAGTCATGGGAATTCCGAGAAGATATTGGTGTGGAGAAGAAATCATAACAAAGATATCCCGATCGGATTCAAATCCATACCGGCGCTATTTTAGGTGTTCTTTAGCTGTTGCAAAGAAGGTAAGCTAAGTACATATCGATTTTTATTTTGAAATTGTATATTCATGTTAACAATTTTGAATTGAATCAATTTTTGATCTAATTTTTGTAGCTTTCAAATGATAATCATGTGTTTAAGTGGGTTGATGAGGCTCTGCTTAATGAGATAGAGGCATTTGGTTATCGAGCAGAAAGCATTGAACACCAGATGAAAGAGCTTTCAAAATCACGTTTGGAGCTTGAGAAAATGGTGTATGACAAGATGGAAATGAAGCTACAGAATGAGATATTTGAGAAAGTTGAAGAAATAATTGGTGAAACTGAATCCAAGATGAAGAAAATGATGGTGCTTGCAGTCTTTGGGTGTGTGGCCATTGTCGGATTCAGCATGCTTTTAGGTTGAGTCTTGTATGGTTTTTAGTGTGTGCTTGTTGTTGTATGTTTTGGTTAGTATCTTTATCGACATTTATGGTCTATTTTTAGCAAATTAATGGTCTTGAACAATATAAATTGTCTGTGTGGTGTGTTGTTTCACATTTGGTTTCAAATTAAGATAGTAAACATTGATAAACAGGTTCTAAATACCAGAACAACACAAAGATAAGACATTGATAAACAGGTTCTAAATACCATAAAATAGGATTGTCTTACACCTAAAATAGAGAACATAACATTGTTTTGTCCTAAAACCAAAAACCTGCAATGGAAAAACCAGCATCTTACACCAAAAACCTGCAACATTCCTAAAACCGAGCTACATATTGTCCTTAAACAGAAAAAAAAGCTTCTACCGCCAAGCTTCCCATACTCTTCAATCACCAAGCTGAGTTAGAGTCCCTTGAGAAGACTCAAACGGTGTGAGATTCCCTTGAGAAGTCTGCACCTGAGAAGATTCATCCCGAGAAGACTCTCCTTCAAATCCCTGTACAGATATAACAACATACATGAACAAACATGACCATACACCAAAATCGCATATACTAAAGAAAAAGAACCACTAAACCTTTTTCTTTTTCTTGTCATGAAACCTTGAATTATGGTTAGCTGCACCACAAATCCCACAATGCATAACTCTCTTCAAGATTTTTGGTGCTTTCTTCACTGGAGATTCATTTTTACCTTTCTTCCTTTCCTTATCCTTCTTACTAACTTTATGGGTTTCTCCTTTCTTCCTGGGAGGCGATTCCGGTCTTGGAGGTTGATGCACCGGTGGTTCTTGTCCTACAGGCCAAAACCTTGCACCTCTCATTGGTACTAGACCTTCTTGGTAAGTCCTTCTCCACAGAGCTGTCCTAAACCAGTGACAGACATAATCTTCAGCCTCCAACATCTTGTTGATGATGACCGCATAAGCATGCTCACAAGGAATACCTGTGATCTCCCATCTTCGACAAGTGCAAGTTCTATCTATCAAACTCACACGGTATGAACAGCCACTGAGTTTAACTTCAAATGTCGAATTTGTGGATATGTAGACCTGACAAAGCCTAGCTTTTTTATGCTCTAGAGCGAGATAGTCGATCACATACGGGGTGCAAACACTTTGCCAATCCATTACTTTGTAACCCCTCCTTGCAATACGTACCATTGCCATCCTTGCGATTGTCTCCAGCATTGGAACCAGTGGTTTGTCTCTCGCTTTGACAATTGAACCATTCCATGACTCTGTAGAATTGTTCTCCACATCTTCACAGAAATTACCTATCTTGTGGTAGGCTCTACACCAAGTTTTCGGCTTTGTCTTCATCAGATTTGCATGTACAGCTGAGTCAAAGCAGAAGATTTTGTCCAAGTTCTCTTCATATTCGGTGTTTTTGTAGCTCCATGCTAAACGCCATATCAATTTCTTCATTTCAGGGTTCTTACCATGCAATGCTCTCATGTTAGCATAGATATGCCTAACACATTTCCGATGCTCAATCTGAGGGAGCTCTAGATCAACAGCAGCTATGAGTCCCTACAAAAAAAATAACAATTCACATTTTAGTAAAAACAATGTTAATACCCAAACAAAAACAGCAATCCAAATCAAATCAAATCAAAACAATGTTAACACCTAAAAACCAGACCAAAAACACTTACTCTATGTCTATCTGACATCATTATGTACCCATCTCCATCTTGCAAATCGAAATCAGCTTTGAGTTTCCTCACAAACCACAGCCAATTATCCTTGGTTTCAGCTTGTACAACCGCCCATGCTATTGGATAAATAGCATTATCCGCATCTCGACCCATAGCAACCAGTAACTGACCCTTCATCTTGTGTCTCAAGTGGCATCCATCAAGTCCAATAATCGGTCTACAAGTCTCTTTCCATGATTTTCTGATAACATCAAAACAGACATAGAATCTGTCGAAGACATCTTCACCTTGCTCGTTTCTAATGCACTCAAGCGCCACAGTAGATCCTTTATTCGCATCTAGTATCTCACGGCAATAGTCACGAAGCTTAGCAAACTGCTCATCATATTCTCTCTGGATCCATCTCAGAGCTTTGTTCCTAGCCGATTGACACTGATTCCTTGTCACTTTAATCCCCCATTTGTCCAATATCATCTCTTCAATCTTCATTGGCATATAATACTCTGGTTCTTCTCGGATTTTGTCAAGAAAGAGATGAGCAATCACAGGACCCTTTAACATCTCGCAAACACCATTAGGAATACAGCTATGAGCTTGTTTAAACGTCTTAACCTGCCACTTGATCTTCTTCTCCGAAGTCGAACAATAGATCCTCCAAGCACAACTATCACCATTTTCAGATTTACCTCGGCATACATAACTGACTTTAGTTTTATCATACCTCCACTGCCTGATGTTTCGACCGGTTTTGAGTGCATAATCAAGCACAGCTTCTTTAAACGCCACTCCATTAAAGAACACTTGCCCTTCAAACAAATTCCCAACGCCTCTATCAAATTCACCACTTTGACTACCACCTCTGCGACCATCACTTGGCTTGGGAACAGACATTGTGCATTGAGTTCCAGTTTCCTCATCATCGGTTTCAGGATACATGTTGTGAAGAACAGGATCTTCATCCTCAAACTCCAACAGCGCTTTCTCCATGTTGTAATCAGCTCTTTCTCGTCGATCTTCTCCGTCGGAATCTTCGTCTCAAAATTCAGGTACTTCTCTCCACTCCAATACCTCCATGATCGAAAACGCTTTCCAATTTCGATAGAAGGTTTCTCAATTTGGGCGAATTTGAATTCTGGGTTCGTTTCTCAGGTTAGGGTTCTAACTGATTTGGGGATTTTGCTGTAATCGGGTTTTAGGTTGCAGTTTAGAGCTCGGGTGGGTTTTAATTGGTTTTTACGGGTTGTAATCGGGTTGTAATCGGTTTAGGTTAGGTTAATTTTGGTTTAGCAACTATTTGGTATACAGTAACCAACTAAAAACGTGGGTTGGGGGGAAAAGGATTTCGAAATTTTGGTTGAGGGGGAAATAGATCTCGAACTTTGCAACTAGGGGGAATAATCTATTTAACTTTTGTTTTAGTGAGACACAAACCGAGGCTCAAAGTTCAGGGTGATATAGTATTATATGAAAGTTATGGGGGGAAATAGACCGTTTCCCCGAAAATATTCAAAACAAAAAAAGAAACAAAAAGTCTCATCAGAAATCGATGTGGAATCAGTCACGAGGATGGATGTATAACAGAATTGATCCACACACAAATAATATATCAAGTGAGTTATTGGCAGGGGTAGAGCAATTCATGAATTTTGCTAATAGCCAGCCACTCGCACAAAGTAGTGGAGGTAGATTTTACTGTCCTTGTTTGAAATGTGAAAATAATAAATTTTTACCAGGAAATACAATTTTGAAGCATTTGCATAGTAGAGGATTTATGTCAGAATATTATGTATGGTCTGAACATGGTGAAGATTATAATGTGCTTGGGGGAAGATCGGGTAGTTATTATGCTAATGTAGATTATACTAGTGATAATCATCAACCACCAACATTTGATGGGGGGAATGGATATGTTGGGATGGTGAATGATGCATTTCATGGTACTATCCCAATTAATCATCATGAGTATCATGAACATGAAAGTGGATATGATCATGTTCATGAAGACCCTACCCAAGAAACCAAACGGTTTTACGACATGTTAGATGCTGCAAACACTTCACTTTATGATGGTTGTCGTGAAGGCCAATCAAAATTATCTTTGGCTGATCGATTCATGAACATTAAGGCTGACCATAATATGGCTGAAAGCGCCATGGACTCATGGTCTGAATTGTTTACAGAGTATTTACCAGAGGGTAATCAAGCATCTGGTTCGTACTACGAGACAGAAACTTTGATGCGAAAGTTAGGATTGCCGTATCATACATTTGATGTATGTATAGATAATTGTATGCTCTTCTGGAAAGAAGATGAGAAGTTAGAGCATTGCAAGTTCTGTGCAAAACCAAGATACAAAGCCAGTGAGGGACGAACAAAAATCCCATTCAGTCGTATGTGGTATTTGCCTATTACTGATAGATTGAAGAGATTGTACCAATCAGAGAAGACTGCATCATCAATGAGATGGCATGCTGAGCATGAATCAGAAGATGGAGTAATGTGTCATCCATCTGATGCAGCAGAGTGGAAGAATTTCCAATATTTGCATCCTACATTTGCAGTTGAAAAACGAAATGTTTATCTTGGGTTATGTACTGACGGGTTTAATCCTTTTGGTATGTCAAAAAATCACTCGTTATGGCCTGTGATCATGACTACATACAACTTACCGCCAGATATGTGCATGAACACTGAGTATTTGTTTCTTACAATTTTGAATTCGGGACCAAATCATCCTCGAGGCAGTCTTGATGTTTTCCTCCAACCATTGATCGACGAGCTAAAGGAGTTATGGTCTAACGGAGTTCCGGCATATGATGTGACATTGGATCAAAACTTCAACTTGAAAGGTGTTCTTTTATGGACTATAAGCGATTTTCCAGCATATGGTATGTTATCGGGTTGGACGACACATGGAAGACTATCGTGTCCTATTTGTATGGATGAGACAAATGCATTTTGGTTCCAGCCGGTAGAAAGACATGTTGGTTCGACTGTCATAGAAGATTTCTTGATATCAACCTTGTGAAGGAATCGATTTTGAAATCGAAGACGCTGAAGCAGAAGATGAATTTCTTTGTAACTTATCATCTTCGGATGATGATGATGAGGAATTTGAATAATACTTAATTTTATTACTTTAATTTATATCAATGTAATATAATTAGCATGTAAGTTTACATGTTTATTACGAGCTAAGTATACTTATATATATATATATATCATTTCTAATTTAAAAATTTTGTGTGTGTTCATGATAGCTTATTGGTTAGTATGCTTTCATATCGATATAGGGTGTCTGTTCGATCCTCTGATGAAACAATTTTGCAGAAATATTAAATATAGTCACAAAAGCGTCGCACACAACCCACTTCTTTGCGACTAACTGTCTTTAACAATTATCAACTTCAATTTTTAAATGTAGTCGCATATATGTCACAAATAGAGTCAAATATGCGACTAACGACCAATGCCTTTGCGACTAACACCTGAAATTAAGACGATTTCGCAACTGTTTAGCGACGCCTAAGGGTTAAACCCTTAAAAATTATAAATTCGATTTGTGAATATGTTAATTTTTATATTTTTACATTGATTTCAGCTAATATATACATTGAATCTTTGTAAAAGTGGAAAAAAAAATTAAATCAAATAGTTTAAACTCATGTTTCTATACCCTAAACACTTATAGTAAGTATTACATAGTATTCATATGACATGATTTTGAAAAAATTGGATTTCTGCAAATTTAGTTAGAATATGCTACTTTTACTCATAAAAAGAGTTTTCTTCTGTTGAATTCTAATAAGAAAGATTGGAAACTCATATTCAACATTCATTACCCTAAAATTTTAGGATTTAGGGTATAAATTTGTGACTAATATAATTGTGACACAAAAACGTCACAAGTAGCGATTAACTTGTGACTAATTTGCTACTTTATCTTCTGCGACTAATTTGCAACTCATCTAATTTTAGGCAATTTTTTACGAATTTGTCGAAATATGAAGCGCCAATATCTCCCTCCACAAAATTACCCTTAAAAAAATATTTGCGACTGAATTGACATTAATTTGGGACTGTCTTCTTAAAGACTACATTTTAATCGAATCGCTTCCCTGTACTTAAGTTTTTTTTTTGCCCTTTTCTCGATACTCTTTCAGCTTCTCTCCCAAATTTCCACACTCTCTCTAAGATTTTGGGTGTTTCTTCTCCTCTCATTTGATTTCCAAGAGAATGGCACTGAGAAATTCAGGTAAAGGCCGTGGAGGTGGGAGAGGAAACGGCGGTGGGAGAGGAAACGGCGGTGGGAGAGGAAGCAAAAGTGGAGGATCGTCTTCTCACGCCTCCAACCCATCCTCGAGCTCGACGCCGTCGAATTCGCAGCAGTCTCGAGCAATTCTTCCGACCCAGTACCCGCCGGCAACACAACCGCCGCTTCATCATACTCCAGTGCATCACCAGCCGCTTCAGCATCCACCGGCTCCTCAACAGCCGCTTCATCATATTCAGGAGCATCTATCTACTCAGCATCAGCCGGCTCCTCAACAGCCGCATAATCCGGCTCCTCAACAGCCACATCAACAGTTTCCCGAGTATCAACCTCCAGATGATCCTGAAGAAGATGATTCTGAAGAAGATGGTCCACCAGAGCCAGAAGACCAGGATTACCAAGCGTTGCTAGATGAGTTGATGGCACTTCCTGGCCGACAGCATCTTCCACTCTTGAGTGAGCAGCGTATCTCAGGCGTTGAGACCACATGGTAAGTTCTTAATTCACTAAACATCATGTGTTTGTATTTGACTAACCACACTATTTCTTTTGGATTTGTGTTTGTGTTTGAGTTAGTTGTTAAGATGAGATAGTAAATGTTTGTTTGTGTGTTTGTGTTGAAGTTAATTTCTTAACCACCTTTGCACATGTACAGGTTTGACCGAGACAGAGGCAATTTGTCTAGAGTCATCGCTGGAATATTTCGGAGGAAGTTCGATGGTGCTTTCTATAGCTGGACGAAGACACCTATACACGTTCAAGAAAGATACTTCAGAACATTTGCGGTAATATTTGATATAGGTTTTAATGTTTTATAGATACATAGTAATGCATTAGTATCTTGAATACTTGACAATATTCTTGCAGGGGAAGTACAATTGGGATTTGGGGATTACCGATATAGTGAGACAAGAATTCTGCAAGAGGGCCACACTTAGGATGAAAGGAATTGTCAGCCAGGCTAAGACAAGTGGTAAGAGACCGCATTGGATTAGCCCAAAACTTTGGAAAAAAATGTGGAGACATTGGAACACTCCCGAAGCAAAGGACAGGAGCTCTAATGCTTCACAGTGCCGTAACTCTGACCGTGGCGGTATTGGAGCCCACAAACATGTATCCGGACAAAAATCATATATGCATGTTCAACAAGAAAAGGTAAGCTCGGTGATAATGATTTTAAATATTGCTCTTAACATAATTTATCTGATTTTGTATCATTATTTTATCATTCTTTTGTTGTAAACGATTTTGTATCATTGTAGGAAGAAGAATTGGGGCGTCCTGTATCTTTTGGAGAAGTGTTTGTGAGAACACACACAAAGGCCGATGGAACTTTTGTTGATCAAAGGGCCAGAAGAGTAGCTGAAACTTATGAGAAGAACATAGAAGAGAAGATGTCTCAAATGGATGTCGATGGTCCTCAAACTTCAGAGAATTCTTCTCAGCGGACCCTCACCATTGAAGAAAAGAATGAGATGTTTCTTAAGGTTTGTCTTTCTCTTCTTAGCATATATTGGTATTTGTTTTGCTTGATGTTGATTATCTGGCTTTGAGATAGTAAAATTCAATCATGTCTCGTCATTAGCTCAGAATTTTTTTTTTTGCATTGTTAGCTTGGTTTGATGTTTAGCAAAATGTGTGTTTGAGTTTGCATTGAATCTTTAGTGAGTCGACACTATTGACACTGTGTTTTATAAGGTTTGCGATTGATCTCAGTTAGAGCTTACTGTCTTTGTGTTTGCTTAGGGGATTGATCTTACTGAGTTCTTTCTGATATTTCTATGGTTTAAGGTTAAAATACTTGTTGTTTTAGTCCACTGAAACAGATGACAAGGGAAACCCTTTTGGGCTTGGGAAACTGAAAGAGACTATCAACAAAGAGAAAAGAAAAGAAAGTTATGGAAACTCTCAATCCTCATCAATTTCCGAGATAAATCAACAGCTACAAGCTGCTCGTCAAAAGATTGAGGAACAAGAAGCCGAAAATGCAAGACGTGATGCGGAGAACCGAGTTTCTCAATCTAAGATCGCAAGCTTGGAGTTGCTCTTATCCTATTTCAAAACAAATGATCCAGCATTTGCAGCATATGTGGCTTCTCAAGCAGATCTAGCCGCACCAACCACAACACCAGGTACCACTCTAAGAGCCGAACCACCAACCACAGCAGGAAACACTCTAGGAAATGCACCACCAACCACAGCAGGAACCGCACCAACCAATTCTCCCTTGTCAAACACTTCATCAACCTCTCCATCTTAACTTAGTAATTTCTTTGATATATTTTTATTTTGGTTGTCTAAATATTTATGTTTAGGATCTTTTGTAAGATGTTTGACTGATTTTGGTAAGTATTTTGGGTAGAAACTATTTGAAATGCAGTAATTGTTTCGGTTTTCCGTTTTTGATTACTAAAAAAAAATTACTTATTCAACATAGGTAGTTGCAAATAAGTCACTATTTGGGACTGAATTGCGACCACCAATATTTAGAAAACAATAACGTCGTCGCATTTTGGAAGCTAATGCATGACCATTTTCCGACTGAATTGGTAAATATTAGTCTTTAAGAGGTCGCAAATATTTCCCACTGCTTTGCGACTAATGTACTACCAAAAACATTTGTTTTTTCACTTTGCCATCAAAGCTAGAAAAGTCCCAAATTAGTCGCTAAAATATAGTCTCTAATAAGTCGCAAAAATTACCAACTAACTTGCGACTAAGATGTTACAGTATATTAGGTTTTTCACTTCGTCCTTTGTAGTCTCAAATTGGTCGCTAACTAATCAGCGTTACAATCTAGTCGTTAATCTACGACTACATTATTGGTCTCATAGTAGTCGCTTATACGCGACGGAAATATGCCATCGCAGAGTAGTCGGAAAACAGGGACTACTTTGCAACTAATATTTTTTGCGACGACAAATTTGCGACTACGGATTGTAGTCGTATAGTAGTCGCAAAGCATTGATTTGCGACTAAGATAAGACTATATTGGTAGTCACAAAAACTTTTTTCTTGTAGTGCAAGTTTTCATCTTCTTTATAGGATTGAAGACAATCATGCAAGCAATGAGGGAATGGTTATGTTTTTTGGTTGTGTACTTGTGTTGTTGCTTGTCCTTTTTCTTCTTTGTCTTCGTGTCTTCTTTGTTTTTTTGGTAGTGGATCATGTTGCTTGTTCTTTATCTACTTGAATGGCTGAACAAGTTATGGGTTTATGTTTGTTTTGTAGTTTTTCTTTACACTTTGTAGTTTCAATTTACCAAACTATCACTTTAAAGTTATCAATTGACTTGTTTTTTTTTTTGGTATTATGTTTGTATCTTGGATTTTTTGATTTTTTTGGTTTTTTCGGATAAACCGGGTTTTTCCGATTAAATCAAACCCGATCACACCCAATTTTTTTTTTTTTCGGTTTTACAACGGTTTTCAATTCAAAAATTAAATCCGATCCGAACCCGAGAATCCCCGACCTGATCTGAACCGAAATTTTATCGGGTCTGATTCTGATTCTGATGCCAACAAATTCGGATAACCAAAAACCGACAATCCGAACCAAATCCGAACCGTCAATCCGAATGCCTAGGGCGAATCACACCCTCACTGAGTATTTTTCTCTGAATACTCACCCCTCTCTTCTTTTTCAAGTGAGACTGAAGAATAGTACTTGTGGTGGTAGATGTGGTGTTGCTTCTAAGGACCATAGGTAAATTTTTGTTTAATTATTTTTAAAAGGATTTTTAGTTATTTTTTTAATTATTTTTCTTCAAATATTTAAAATTTGGTTTATTGTTAAGACGTTTCCAGTTTCCGGTTATTTATTTTTGATAAAAGATTTTAGATAATAAATAATTATTTAATGTGTTCGTTATTCTTTTTAAAAGCTGTTAAATGAGTGTAAATCAAGTTAGATTTAAAATGCAAGATTAAGATGTGTCACTCAGATTCGTGCGTGAAATCCCTTCTCAATTTGTAGAGATTCAAACAAGAGTTATAGACTCTTTGATGATAAAATAGAAATGTTTTTGAAATAAAATGATATAAGCCAATCAGAGAATCCCTATCAGGATAAAATCAACACTAATACTCTTAAAATATTGCCACATTATGGTTGGAAGGATTCTTTTGAAAAGAGATAAAGCTTGGAAGGGAAAACGGTCTATTTCCCCCCAATAACTATCATATAATACACGGTCACTCTCCAAAGTTTCAACCTCGATCTATATAACCCTATAACTAAAGTTCAAAATCAATTTCCCCCTAAAATAGAAGTATGAAATCTATGTCCCCCTAAATTCAAAGTTCGAAATCTATTTTCCCACAGACAACGTTTTGGATTGGTTTACTGTATACCACTAAATTGTTAGCCAACATTAACCAAAATTAACCCTTCTAAACCCGATTACAACCTGTAAAGACAAAAGAAAACCCACCCGAAACGCTAAATCCGACACCATAAACCCGATTATACTTTATCCCCAAATCTATTCGAACCCTAGAAAAAAAAACTAAACCCAGACATTGAATTCCCAAATTTGAGAAACCCAAGCTGCAGAAAATCAAAGTACTGTTTGATAATGGTTCCTCTCTTAATTTACACAATCTGAAGTTGTGAATTTTCCTTGTTAAAAATTGTTACTCTTGGCTAGAAATCTTTTGGAAGAGAAGGAAAAAAAGATTCAATCTCATTTAAACCAAAATCAACGTTTTTGGGCGAATGCCAAAATAAAAAATACAAGTCTGCGTGTGTGTAAACCTTATTAAATTGAAAACAACATAACACAATTGGAGCGTTTCAGCCCTCTCTTCAAACTAATTAGCCTTTCAATTCTTCTCCACAACTTCAATTATGGTGGGCTCATAGCATGAGGGAGCCACAAATCCATGGAGGTTCATCACTGTTGCAGCTACATTCGCAAGTCCCAGTGTCTCCAAATCCTTACGGAGTCTCACTCCTTCAGACAATCCTGGACCTCCAATGGCAATTGGCACCTGCAACACATTCCAAAGCAGGCTTCCCAGAAGAAAAATCGGATTCACAAGTGCTGATTTCGAAAATTGGATTTTTAGGGTTCTTAATCGAAATTGGAGGTTTTCTGGGTTTAAATTGGATTTAAATCGGGGTATGAGTCGGATCTAGGGTCAGGTCAGGCTTTGTATATTGATTTTGTTTATGGGTGAAATACGTCTGGTTTACGTTTTACGTTCTAAACCGATATCAAACAGATATTAAACCTTCAAAATTTGATTTAGAGGGAAATAGATCTCGAACTTCTTAGGGGGAAATTGATTTTGAACTTTAGTTATAAGGGTATATATATAGACTGAGGTTGAAACTTTGGGGTAACCGTGTATTATATGGTAGTTATTGGGGGAAGGGGGGAAATATACCGTTTTCCCAGCTCGGAAAAGGAAATAAATGAGATTTCGAAATTGAAATTTTAAAGTTATCGATCTTGTCTTATTTGAGAAATGAAAACTATTTTACTATTTACAAACAAACAAAGGAAAAGAAAAACTATCAACTATATAATTTGAAGAAAAACATTAATCTGATTTAAGGAAATTAGTTTACCAGATTATATATATCATGTATTTGTAAGATATTTGATTTAAAAGCATTTGAAGTAGCAAGTAGATTTTACAGATTTTTATATTTTAATGTTTTTTTTATTTAAAAATAATTAATTAATAATTAAATTTTGTATGATAAAAAGGTTATGTTTGTTTGCTTTAGACTACCAAAATATTGGGACGGCACTGAGAAGAAGGTAGAAGAAATACTCATTTACTTCCTAATATTTGCAATTAGCAAATTTATTCCCCATCATATTAGAGAAACCCCTAAGTATGATTAATAAAATGGGTACTTTCACAAATAACCCACAATTTGAAATCAAATGCAAAAGTAACCTCTTTTTTCTCCTTCTTTAATAAATGCCACTTTCTCCCTACTATCTCCTTACAACCACATATATTCACAAAAATACCATTATGATTTTAATTTTTGTTTTTTCTTAAAAATACTAAAAAGACACAACCATCCTAAAATATATCATTTATTTATGAAAATGCCATCTTCTTCAATTTTGCCAACCACCATTACCAACCAGTTTTGAAGCTCTAAATGTTTGCCCAACCAATTTTGAAGCTCTAAATGCTTATTGTGTCGCTTATAACTTCATTTTACCTACAAATTTCTCTCTAATTTCATCTAAAAAATTCTTTCATGCTCATTTTTATAAATTCCAATTTCATAAATCATAAATTTTTGGAGATTCTTGCATAACAACGACTTAGCTAGTTTGTTATCGGTGCTATACAAAATTCTGGGTGCTTGTCAAAGTTAATCGAGTTTAAATTGGAAGTAGGTAAACATCTACTTCATTTTCTTTAATATTTAGCTCTGTTTCGCGAAAGAAGACTTCTTTTTCAGTCTGCTAGTCAACGCAGAGGTTAGATTTGCAATTGACTTTTTTTTTAATATTTGTGTAAGCAGACTTCTTTTGAAGTCTGCGAATTGTCCTTTGTAAACAAAAAATATCATGTAGACTTCTTTTGTAGTCTGCGAGAAGAAAAGGTTATTTTTGCATTTGACCAAAAAAATTGACGAACTTTGACTTTTATAGCAGACTTTTATTTCGTAATTTGACTCGAGAGGTTATTTTTGCAATTGACCAAGATTTTGACCACTTTTGACTTTTATAGCAGACTTCAATTCAAGTCTGCTACAAAAAAATAAATAGCAGACTTCTTTTTTAGAAGTCTGCTATTTATTTAATTAAGATTCGGTCAAATGCAAATCTGACCTACAAGCAGACTGTTAAAGAAGTCTGCGCATACTTCTTTAGAAGTCTGCTTTGAAAGTCAACCTTTTGGTCAATTGCAAAAATAACCTTGAGTAAACTTCTTTTGTAGAGTAGACTTCATAAGCAGACTTCTTTACTATAGCAGACTTCTTTTACTCGTCAACAGACTTCTTAAAAGTCAAATTTTAAGAAGTCTGCTCTAAAAGTCAAATTTTTGGTCAATTGCAAAAATAACTTTTTCTTCTCGCAGACTGCAAAAAGAAGTCTACTACGAAAAGTCAAATATTTGGTCAAATGCAAAAATAACCTTTTTTCTAGAAGACTTCAACGTGAAATTTCCCCGGCGGATTTTGAACGGATGTCTGTATTTTTTAAAATTTTTAAAATGCATTTTATAAAGTATTTGTAATGTTTTTTTTAATTTTAAATTGTAAATGCATTTTATGTATGATTCTTGCACCTGTATGAATTTGGTGTGTTTATGTGTTATAATTATAAAGTTATGAATTTTTTTGGTTTGAAAGGTAATTAGCACATCTAAGCAGACTTCTAAAGAAGTCTGTAGATGAAGTCTGCTGTTACGTATTAGCATATCATAGCAGACTGCATAAGAAGTCTGCTTAATTATTTTTCTTAAAAATTCATTTTTGAAATATTTGTTGTAAAAAAGATTTTCTTGTTTTGACATGTTTATTTGTTTTGTGTGTTGCATCTATATGAGTTTGACGTTGTTATGTGTTATAATTACAAAGTAATGAATTTTCTTGTTTGATTTATCTATTTTTGCAGACTTCTAAAGAAGTTTAGAAGTCTACTTCCTTTCAATTATTTTTATTTGTTATTGTTCTTGCATTTGTTTAAGTTTGAAAAATCTGTTATTCTTGCATTTACTTGTCATGGTTTGTCCTCAACTTTAACTATTGGCCAATTTTGTTAACGGTCTTGATAGTATATAAATTACTTTATTAACGCGTACAACGTTAACAAACTCTTGTGGTCTGGTGGAAACAAACCCACTTGTTGCCCAAAGTATGTGGGTTCGAACCATTATGCTTCCAATTTTGGTTATTCTTTTTGTTTTTAAAAAGGACATAATTGTAATTTTGTTTTCGTCTTCTATCTAGGTTTTTCGAGTTCTGCAACTCTTTTTCGCGGCCGCAAGCCAATTTTTTCACATAATCAGTCAGTTTTTTTCATTATTCTTATTATTCACACCTAAATCTTATAGATCTGGCATATATATATATTGATTTCAAGTCTTAAACGAAGAAAAAAAAAAGAATTTTCAAAGAATTTGATTTCAAGTCTTAAACGATTAATCGGTCTTGGCGGCCGCTTTTTAGAACATGGGATACAGACAATGGATCCGAGAGAAAGAAAATAAAATAGGAAAATGATGAGAACAATACACTGGAAAAAGCCTCTGTGAAAAAAAAAAAACAAAAAACTTAAAAAAGAAAGGGACTAATCTAAGAAAGAAATCAGCTTGTGGTCATGAATGGAATTGCTCTGATGACAAGCTGTTGGTAGAGAGCCACAAGAGCTGCACCAACGAATAGTCCCACCCAGAAAATCCACTGCAATAACAAAGAAAACGACCAAAATAACATTAGAAGAAGATGAAATCAACAAAAATTTGTAAAATAATTAAATGGGACAGATTCTTACGTGGTCGTCCCAAGCTTGGTCCTTGTTGTAGATGATTGCAGATCCGAACTCAAGTGAACGAAGAACATAGCAAAAATGGAGAGCAGCAAGAAAGAGGATTACAGCAACAAAGAAAATGCAGCGCCGTTTTTGGAGAGAGGGATCAAAGTGGAGAGTTTCTGATTTAGGGTAAAATCTCATTTATATAATAGGGCAAAAATATCTGGTTATATCTGGTTAGGTTAATTATTTCCGGTTTAAATCAATATTTTATTTTAATTTCGTTTACGGTTTGAGCAGACTTATAAAGAAGTCTACAATCCTACTTTAAAATTATTCACTTTTGATGTTTATCTTAGATGGTTTAAAATGATTTATTTTAATTAAATTATAATCATACTTGTTGACATTTGATTTATAGAAACAAATTTCAGTTTAAATTATTTTTCTATAATTTTAAATTTTAAATATAAGATTTAATAATATAGCAGACTTCTTATAAGTCTGCTCTGCAGACTTCATTAATATTTGCAGACTTCGCAGGGTTAAAATTGTAATAGAGCCCTTCGTTTTTTTGTTTACTCATGTAGGAGATAATAGTAATTTCTCTACCCATTTGACCTATTTTTGCAATAGGTTGAATTTGGGTATACTTTTGCATTTGGATTCAAATTGTAGCCTATTTTTAGCAATTCCCCCTTAAAAAAAAAAAGAGAAAACTTATGTTGTAAGTTTAGACTTTAATAGTTTCAGTTTATGAAATTAATCTCATTATCATCTAGATTAGATTTAATTCAACCACAAATACTTTTTTTATAGAAGAAGAAGTACTTACCTTGATCCATATTCTCTTTTTATGTTTGTTATGAGAGATGATTGATTTTTTTTTTTTTATATGATCTCTTTTTAATGGAGAAGAAATCTAAATCTTTCTTATCTCTTTTCTTTTATGGATGGTGTCCTAATGTGTGTGTTAGTTACAAAATCTTATGACTGTGAATTCTTTTATAGTAAACTAAACCTTCCCTAATAGTGATATGTGTGAAGGATAAATGTTAAACTTACACCTCTTAAGCATAACATGTGTCAATCAATACATATGCCCCATTCATAAGAAGACATATTTAACTACAAATGTCCTTTAATAAAAATCACACATGTAACCATCACAATTAGAACACATACCCTTTTAACACATAATATTTTATATCCTTAATGAAAGATTTAATATCATAAGGTAAGGAAAAAGGTTATCAATACACTCAAGATCTAACATCTTTAATCAAAATTGATCCATCACAGAATTGTTTTTTTAGTGCATGCCTTTATATCCTTGACATATGTGTCGATTTGATGATTTAATAATTTTAGTGCATGCCTTTATATCAAGTTCACTTATCTTTTAACAATAAAATCTAAACAGATCGAATCATGGTGGTCACAAATCATTCAATCGACATGATCCCTTCCATGTATCACAACTAATCATAATTATATATAGCTTCTTTTATGTTTGAGAAGCACTTTTATACTCAAACTAACCTTACAATGAGAAGAACTTTTATTCTCAAACCAACCATATGTTATCTATAAACCATACATGTACACTCTTTAATGTTAACATATTTTTATAAACCAGAAATGTAACCTTAAGTGAATTCAAAGTGTCACAACCATAATGAGCAAACCATAACTAAAACAGCAAAGCTTTATCTATAATACCCATACGTTCTACATGACCAATTAATACCTTGAGTGGTAATCCTTTAGTCAACGGATCCACTACCATCATATCCGTTGCAATATGCTCAAAAAGCATTTTAAGTTTCTGTACTTATCTTTAACTGACAAGTACTTTAACTCCATGTACTTAGTACCCTTTGAGTACTTGTCGTTTTTTAAAAGATGTCAGCTGTCGAATTGTCACAATAAATTCTCAGCGGTTGCTCTATACTGTCGACAATTTGAAGCCCTGAGATAAAGTTCCGCAGCCACAACGCGTAAATTGTGGCCTCAAAGCATGCCACGAATTCAGCCTCCATAGTGGAAGTAACAATGACAGACAGTTTTCCACTTTTCCATGATATTACTCCTCCACTTAATATGAACAAATATCTAAACGTTGATTTCCTACTATCAATGCATCGGGCATAGTCTGAAACTGAATAACTGATAACCTCCAGATGATCAGATCTCCTATATGTAAGCATGTGCTCTTTGATGCCTTGAAAGTACATGAGGAATTTCTTTGCAGCTTTCCAGTGGTCCATTCTGGGATTACTTTGATACTGACCCAACATACCAACAGCAAAACTGATATCTGATCGAGTACATGTCTGAACATAGTTCAAACTCCTAACCACTGATGCATACAAAATTCTTGCCATTTATTTACGCTCCAATTCACTTTTCAGTCATTGCATTTCGCTGAACTTGTACCCTTTCTGAATTGGAGCTACCCCTGCGGAGCAATTTTCCAGTATATATCTCTCTAAGATTTTATTAATATATCATTTCTGAGACAAACTTAACAATCCTCGTGATCTCTTCCAAAATATTTCTATTCCAATCACATAAGATGCATCACCCATATCTTTCATTTCAAAATTCTTAGAGAGATACCTCTTTATATCATTTAGCATGCCCATGTCATTTCACTACAAGAAAGATCGGGTTTTACGTCGGCAGATATCGACGTAAAATCGACGTAAAAGAGCATTTACGTCGAATTAACGACAAATAAAAAATCGTCGTAAAACAATCGTCGTAAAACCGAAATCGTCGTAAAATCGTCGTAAAATTACCAACCCAGGAAAATCGTTGTAATATCGTCGGAAACTATTCGTCGTAAACTCGACGTAAATTTTCCAACGAAAGTACAACGAAATAAGTCCATCATAAGAACGACGTAAAATCGATGTAAAATTACATCGATTTAACAACGATTATGAGACGAACAATTTTAATTAAGAGAAATTAATTTTTTAATCATCGATGTTAATTCGTCGTAAAGTTTCGACGTAGATTCGACGTAAACATATTCGACGTAAATTCGTCGTAAAATGTTCGACGTTAGATCGACGTAAATTTACGACGAATTTACGTCGATTTATAAATTAATTATTTAATTCGATTTTAATTTAATTAATGAATTTTTAAAATAATCAAAAAATTTAAAATAGAAAAAAACATTTTAAATTAAAATTTAAATTCGAAAATAATTTATATATAAAAAAAATTAATACAAATTGTTTTTTACAAAAAAACCTAATCTACAATGTGATTTCGTAATCGTCGAGGTTGAGATCGACGTCACGAGGAGGCTCTCCGTCTTGGCCGCCCGTCGCTGCTGGACCGTCGTTTCCCGTCTGCACTACCGGAGCCGAAAACTGACCCTGCGTCTGCTGGTCCGATGGTTTACCGGAAGTACCACCGGCCTCAAAGACGCCTCGTGCTCGCTGTTGCCTCGCTCAGATTGCGGTGGCCAACTGCGGAACCGCTTCCGCAATGATGTTAAAGAGATCGTGAATCTCGGTGAGCTCCGGCTTCTGGGGCACTTGCTCATGCCTGAGAGTGGTGATCTCAGCATTGGCCGTAGCAAGCTCCTGGCGAAGATGACTTGGATCCTCCTGCGTGCGAAATCCGGAAGCCGAGGCGGCATGACAGTATCTAATAAAGCCCATCCCTAAGGTTCGGCCCTTCTTCTTCGGAGCAACCTACAAATGGAAATAAAAACGTTAATTATTTATTAAGTAATAAATATAATAAATTTTTAAAAATTAAAATAGATCATACCTCCTCGAAAATCTGGTCTTGCTCAGCGACAGTCAACGGTACTTGGATAGTACCGTCAGGTGTGGCTTGGATCTCCCGCTCGGCGATCCGCTGAATAGCGGCATTGTAGATCTCTTCTGACCGAGCGTCGACAAAGCTCCCGTCTCTCTTCCGGTGAGTGGTCTCGAAGAGCTTCGTCATTGGAGGAAGTTCTCCTCCGTTCTCCTCGTCCTACCAATTAATAAACATTAGTCAAAAATATTTAATAAATTATAGCAATAATTAAAAATGAAATAACAATGAGATAATTTATATTTAATTACTTACCATCATGAGACGTCTTCCCGCAAAAGATATTTGGTCAGAAATGTGCGGGGTCACTAACTTCTGACCGTCAGGACCGATCCGGTTTCGGACGGCCGAACACTTAGCCGCAATGGTTTGGGCATGCGGGTCCAGCCAATACGCCTTCAACCCGTTCCAACAGAAAGTGGACATGGAGCTCGGCTTTGCGTCGTCACCATCGGTCTCCCACTTCCGCTTCCAATCGGAAACGGTGTTGACTAGGCGTTTCTGCGCCTTCAGCCGGAAAGCTTCGCGGACCGTCTCGTTGATCCCGATGTCCCAGTTCCACCGTTGCTGCAAAAGAAAACAAATTAAAAATTATATAAACAATATAAAAGTAAGATTAATTAAATTTGAAATAATTTGAAATGATATAAATAAGATTTAAAAAACATTACCGCGAAGCACTTGTACCAGGTGTCGAACGTCTCTTGCGACACCTTGCTCCAGTTGTAGTGCGGCTCAACGAAATGACTCTTAATTGTGTCGGAAACACTCCGACCGACACAATTATCCAAGTTAAACCTATGAAACCAAAAAAAAAATATTACATTAAAATTTAAGTAAATTAAAGCATTAATTTAAAAAAATATAAAAAACAAAAAATTTTACTTACCAATAAGAGCCTGGTTCCGCTTTTCCGGGAACCAGACGTCGTAAAGCCCTCCGTCCCGGTAGGGCTAGTAAGTCCTCAACCTAAAATTGGGCATACGGATGAGGAGGGTGGGCTACCGGTTCTTCAGCCGGCGGTGGAGGTGGTGGTGGAGGTGGTGGTGGAGGCGGTGGTGGAGACTGCTCCGCTACGGTATTCGGAACCTGGGAGGCTCCAGAAGATGAAGGGACATCGGTCCCGGTGTTTCCTGAGGCAGACGCCCGGGAAGAGTGTCCGTCCGCCATAAAGTTGATGTAGTGCGTCCTCCGTCGAGTCATCGTCTGCAAAACCGGAAAATTTTTATTTTTGAAATTACAAATTAATTTTAAATTATGATCCTAAATCTAACAAACACCGTAAATCCTTAATCTAACAAATTTCGATCCTAAATCTAACAAATTCCGAGCCTAAACTAATTTCCGACCTAAACCGTTTGTATTTCTAAACTAATTAAAAATAAAAATTAGATTTTAAGTAAAAAAAAAATTACCTGATTTTTTGGGTTTGCAGGGAAGCAACGAAGTGAGGAGGAAGCAGGGAGAGGAAGAAGTTGAATGAGCGACGAAATGAGGAAGGGGTGCTTCCATATATATAGAATTTTTATTCGTCGTAAATCCGACGAAATCGTCGTAAATCCGTCGTAAAGGTGCAACCGTACAACAAAGCGAATAAGACAAACACACGTGGCTGTATCTAGGCTTTGCGACGAATTTACGACGGTCAGGGTTAGTCGTCGTAAAATCGTAGTAAAATTACGACGAATTTACGATAAATCCTTATAAATCATAAAAATTATAACGGCTATGTATTTACATATCGTCGTAAAATTGTCGTAATATTACGACGATTTTACGATGGTATGTACGAAAATGATGAATTACAAAAATTGAAACATCCATAAGCACATACAAGCATGTCTATACATGCTAAATGTGGTCTGTATAACTTTCTAGCATGTTTACATAACATAATCAAGAATTTGGTTTGATCTAAGATAAATCCTTACATCTTCTCTAAATGTATATAACACCTTAAGATTACTTGATAAACACATATATGTCAAATTTTGAAATTTTTTTTTTGTTTAGAAAGTTGTTTTACCTTATGAGATGGTAAGCCATATCATTCTCTTCATCTAAATCCCCCCTGAACCCCAGAAAAGATTGATTATAAGTTTTAGGGGTTACATTTCGTCGTAAACTCGATGGTATTTTATGATGAATTTACGACGAATGGGTGTGATTCGTCGTAAATTCGTCGTAACATAAACCACATATCTACAAGTTCTTTAAACAAATTTT